GAAAATACTGCTGGGAATGTGAAGCCAACAAAATCATCTGGAAAAAAGTTGTGCAAAGATTCCGTAACTGCTTCACTTGTACAATTTAAAATACAATGATTAAAAGTAGGTGAAACAGCTCAAATTATTTGCTCCAGGAAATGTATTTTATTTCTTTACTTTTTAATTTTAGAAATGGACTGTATAACGCTGTCCAACTCTGTAAGCATTCTGGGTGGCATAGAGTAAAAGCAGTTCGATAAATCAGACAAACAGTAAGAACAAAATCCTCACACAAAGCCCTGAAGAAAAGCAATGATTAAAAGATAATCAAATGTAAGACCTACTCTATAATGTGGGGCCTGGAGAAAGAGGCAGAATTTCAGAACTTTTTGAAACATGGCCAGGTTTTTTGGGGGAGGAGGGATCAGACCTAACTTGTTAAAAAATAACATTTATGATTTCAGAGAATCACCCTATTGCAACGTTTACAATTCCCTGATTGCTAAGTCCTAAAATTTGTTTCGTTCTAGCTTGGTGAGTTGTCAGACCCCAAAGATTCTGGCTTATAAATTATAACAATATAACAATATATGTAAAAGGGGAGGATGGCTAACAGCCTGTTAATATACCATATTTACTACCACCTTCTGCTCATACTTGTAGGCTTTGGCATCTGTGATCTTTTCTAGTAGACTTTCCTATCAGTTTGTAAGGGTCTAGGTCAGGGATAGGCAACCTTGGCTCTTTTATGACTCGTGGACTTCAACTCCCAGAATTCCTGAGCCAGCCATGCTGAGGAGAAAGGGAAAGGTTTCCATGCTGAGCCATGCTGGCTCAGGAATTCTGGGAGTTGAAGTCCACGAGTCATAAAAGAGCCCAGGTTGCCTACCCCTGGTCTAGGTCAGCTCATTGCAACCAACTCCCCATGGGACAACTTGCCATGGGACAAAAGTTACACATATCAAAGAGAGAGTGGGTCCCAGCAAGTTATCCTACTCCAAGTTTGTAAGGCAGAAGCATCAGTAGAGCCGTAGTATTTTTCCTTCGCAGGCAGTAACAGTTGACTTGGAGGTTTAGAAGACAAGCTGCAATGGCGATTGAGCCGTGGTGGGCAGTCTCCAGCCCGCGAGTTGCACGCTGCACATCACAGCCCTTTTTATAGCCTTTGTATCAATTGATTTGCTTTTTTGTGGCAGAAAAATCACTGCTATTCTGGAGTATATGCCATATAGGGGGAAAAATCTCCCGTCTTTATCCTAAATGGGGGGAAAAAATAAACACCTGTGAACAAAAGTATTTATTATTATTATTATTATTATTATTATTATTATTATTATTATTATTATTATTATTATTATTATTATTATTATTTATTAAATTTATATCTATCTCCCTTACGGGACTCAGGGCGGTGAATAGGCGATACTAAAAACCACGATAAATATACACAACTTTCTGTTCTAAAATTAAATTAAATAACAGGCCTGCTCTAAAAACACCCCATACAAAACCCCCACTAAAACATAATCAAACTACGCCAGGCCGGCCGCACGGAATAGATGGGCCTTCAGGGCTCGGCGAAAAAGGCGCAGGTCCGCAACTGTACGTAGGTTGGGGGGTAGGTCATTCCAGAGGGCAGGAGCTGCCACAGAGAAGGCTCTCCCCCTGGGGGTCGCCAGCCGGCATTGTCTGGCCGACGGCACTCTAAGGAGGCCCTCTCTGTGGGAGCGGACCATTCCCCCATCTGCCATAGTTCTTGCCCCTACCAAAACAACTTTTAAGTGTAGCCCCAGGTCACCAAAAGTTGCTTAATTTGAGATTTGGTTAAGAGCCAATGTAACCTGGATGAGGAAATGAGAATTCCTGAGAAAGCTTCCCTTCTCTATTCGTATATTATAGAAGTTGGGGCAGATAGGAGTACTATTTTTTTTATTGGAAGGTACTGAATAATTAAAACTATTTCGGACAATGTTTGACCCTCCTGAGTTTCATTCTAATCAAGATCCTATTGATAGCTCTCTGCTTTGCCTTTGGTTCATAATGTAAGCTGGGCTTTTAGCCAATTTTGCAGAAAGGGAGCCTTTGTGTGTGGTTTTATGGAGAAATAACTTTATAACCTGCCTTATCTTTCTTTGGCCTTGCACTATGAAACTCCATTCACTGCTTTAAAGTCAATTAGACTAGTCAGTTGGTTAAAAAAAAAACCATTCTGGATATCAGTAGTCCTTGACTTACAACAATTCATTTAGTGACCGAAGTTTACAAGGGCACTGAAAAAAAGTGACCTAGGACCGTTTTTCACACCTACATTCATTGCAGTGTCCCCTTGGTCACGTGATCAAAATTCAGACTCTTGGCAAGTGACTCATATTTATGACGGTCGCAGTTTTCTTGGGTCATGTGATCTCCTTTTGCGATCTTCTGACAAGCAAAATCAATGGGGAAGCCGGATTCACTTAACAACCGTGTTACTAACTTAAAATCTGCAGTGATTAACTTAACAACTCTGGCAAGAAAGGTCATTAAAAAGTGGGTTTGTTTTTGTTTTTTTGTTTGTTTTTTTTTAAGACTTGAGAAATGTAAAAATGTTGGGATGGCCTGTATGAGGAAAATGACCTAAATATTTAAGTATAATTAACTTTGAGAAAATCTCAACCGGTAAGAATGTTTTGAATATTGCAGGAAAAACAGATTTAAATAAGAATTTTGTAAACAGGATCTATGACGAGGGATGATCAGTTAGAAAAGAAGCTTTATATTGATGTGGTTATTATTTGCAGAAATATTAAAAATATATATTTAATTGTTATTTATCAAAATAATAAGAATTGTATTAATTTAAGGTTGGCAAAAGAGAAGAAGAAAAAATCAAGCAAAGCTACTATGTGGACTATAGAATTATAGAAACTAATTGTTATTGTTTTTTAAATATAAACCCAGACAACATGCTGTTTACCAAATATTAAGATGATTATGTTAAAAAAATCAATTAAATACATTTTTTTTAAAAAAAGTGCAGTAAAACTCACTTAACAACTGCCTTGCTTAGCAACATAAATTTGGGGCTCAATTGTGGTTGTAAGTCAAGGACTGCCTGTAATTTCAGGAGAGGAAATACCTAGTTATGTAAAACCCTACATAAGTTTCAGATTTCCTGTTCTATTACATATTTCCCTATTTTTTATTAAAATAAAATAATTGTAGTGCCAATTGGCTTTCTGTGTATAAGTAGAGTTAATTAGGGGGCCTTTTCATGCTGTTGATCAGCACTGTGTCTTTGAAATAGTGATTTAAAAATGCAATAAACTAAAGTTTAGAAATAATCACCTTATTTCCTTTTGAAGGAACCCATCTGGGAGAGATGCCAACTCTGTTCTCAATGTGCCATGTACATTTTGTCAAATCACATCACTTGCTTTAAGAATCCCAACTTTTGGCTGACGAAATAATTTCCATCAGGCAAATAATCTTCTGACTACACATAATTTGAAAGTTTGAGTTATCTCACTCACCTTGAGGCCCTTCAGACAGTTATTCATGTCCTGGGCATCTCATGATTGGATTATAGCAGGGGTCTTCAAACATGGCCCTTTTATGACTTGTGGACTTCAACTCCCAGAATTCCTCAGCTAGGCACACTGGGAGTTGAAGTCCACAAGTCATAAATGGGCCAAGTTTGAAGACCCCTGTACTATAGCATTGTGCTCTAGTCTTCGACTTATAACTGCAGTTGAGCCTGGGATTACAATCTTAACATCCTTGCAGTCGTATGTCAAGGCACATACATGACCAACAATACTTTATTGGCCCTTTTCATGGCAGCCGTTTAGCAAAGCCATTCATATGAATTGGCATTGTTTGCTAAAACTGGCAAAATTCATTGCAAACTATAGTCACATGATTGTGGAATGCCGCAACGAATTGTAAAACTGACCTGCCCAACATGTGGTCATGTGAGGTGCCAGCACAACAATTGATGATGGTCAGAGGTTTTTTTATGGGCCGTAAATCAATTAAATACATTTTTTTTTGGAGAATAGCCTGACTCCCTCTTCTTTGTGGCAGCCCCTGAGATACTGGAACACTGCTATCGTGTCCCCCTCTGGAACAGCATCCCGCTAGAGATAAGGATGGCGCCCTCTCTCCCAGGGCTCCAGAAAGCTCCAGAAAACCTGGCTTTGGTCCCAAGACTGCGGTTGATGTATCATTACTTGTCTAGGATCCCTGCCTTGTTTGATTTTTGTTGCCTATAAGATTATTTTAGTCTGGACTGTCCGTTTAGTTTAATGTTTTTATGGTTTTCTTTTATATTGTCTAAACTAAATGGGGGGAAAAAAACTTTGCCCCTACTTTGTCATTCCAGAAAGCCCGAGACAGATAATCCAGAAAATATGACTCTTCATAGGAAGCTTGCTGGCTTAACAAAAAATGTGAAGCAGAGTCTTTAGGTCTGTCCAGCACTCTCTAGGGACAGGAAGCTTCAAGCCTGGAAATGCAGGATTTTGTTTTCACTGGATCCAGATGGAATTCAAAACTCATGAAATGGAGACATGCTGTAGCACACATACCGGGGTTTGCTTAGTCTTGAAGTGTAGCCAGGCTCCTTAGCTATTGCCGTAACTACTTTTTACTCCTTCAGTTGTTTTGATCGGCGTTTATCAATTTTAGGTGATTTTAAGTGTTGCCTTTGGATCATCTTGCTAACCTGCACTTGAGGTTCTGCAACTGTAGGAGAAATGTAATGAACAAGGTGTAAACCAAAATGCGGTACAGCACGAAAGTTACCACGATGTGCATAGATTTGCTATAAAATTGACCAAGTTCTGTCATAAAGGCAACCACAAATAAGGGTGGCGTGAGAAACTGTGTATTTGCAGTTGTTCAGGAGAAATATGGATCGTCCTCTTCTTTCTGCCTACCTAAAACATCACACTTACAGATTGCTTTGGTCCTTCAACTGAGATGGAAAAGATGTGCATTCTGGACCAACTGTCTCCTGTCCTGTCTTCCTTTTTCAGCTTCTTCTGCTTCGTCGTCTTTGGCAAATGCCCCAGTAGAAGCAGAGCAAGCATGGCCCCAGAGCAGTGGGGAAGAAGAGCTACAGCTACAATTGGCCCTGGCCATGAGTAAAGAGGAAGCGGAGCAGGTAAGCGCCAAGGTAAATCTATCACTGAAAGCTCTTTGGATGCATGGCGGTGGGGCAAAGAATGGGCAAATGATCATTGTCTGATGGGATATAAAATACTGTATATTTTAATGGAGGGGCTGTTATTTGTTGTGCAAGTTCTCGTTTGAATCTGTTGAAGCTTAAGAACTGTCATGTAGAAGAATATAACACTTTATTAGATCAGGAATACTATTTTGATTTGGGCCCATTCTCCTATTTCTTTGTAGGAAAAAACATCTCCAGACGTTTCCTCTCCCCACCTCAACATCTATCAGGTTAAAAAGCTGCTACAACTGTAGACTTGCATAGGTTATTCTAACCCAATATCCTCAACTTCATCAAACATGGAGATGTGTGGATTTCCATTTCCAGAATTCCACAGCCAGATTGTTGGCTGGTGGAATCTGGGAGTTGAAGTCCACACACTTAAAGTTGCTGAGGTTGAGGAACATATGCTGTAGGCCAGGGGTGTCAAACTGGCGGCCTGCGGGCCAGATGCATCATGCATAGGCCATGCCCACCCCAGCTCCGCAAAGGCAAAAAGCATCGCGATATGTCGCGTGATGCGATCAAATTTGACATCCGTGCTGTAAGCCATGAAGAGAATCAGAAATAGAATGCAGGCTTTAAAATTTTGTTTCCTTATTTTTCCCCCCCACACTTGGGAGTGATGTCATCATGGACTTTGCATTAGATCTAATCCCAAAGCATAGCCTGGTCCCAATTATTTTTGTAATTTTCTAATTGCAATTGTAATCCCATCTGAGTAACATCAGAAGCTCTAAGAGGGCTCCCTTTGTGTAGGGCAGCTGGGCAAGCTAATAGAGCAGCCAGTGATTCCCCTCAGGCTGTTTGCAGAGACCTCATAGCCTCTTAAGGTCTGGTACCTGAAGAATTGCCTTTCCTAACCTCTCTGTTTAGGCAAGAGTCTCCACCTCCCGCATGCATCCCGGTACTGGACCACGGTCAGTTCAGAACCGGGCCACGCAAGCGGCAGGTGAGTGCCCACGTGCAGCTCCATTTGTGCAAGGACCCGCCACTGGCACAAATGGAGCTGTGCTCACAAGCGCCTGCGTCTGCTGCTGTCATGAAACCATTTCCTCTCTCCCCACCCCCCAGTCTGCAAAGCCGGAAAGATTGGGGACCACTGTGCTTAAGGCACCTGAGATCATTTTCAAAGCTCTTTCCCCCTCCCCAGGGTTTCTCTGCATCCCCCCATCTTTGATGACAAAAAAGTTTTATGAATGGTCAACCCCAATGACTCAGCTCCTTTCGATGGTTGCTCAGTGCCAAAAAAGTACAGGTAGTCTTCTTGTTACAACAGTAATTCGGATCTAAATTTCTGTCACTTGAGCGAACAGTCATAAAGTACAACATCATGCGACCTCATTGTTCAGCAGTGAGAATCTCAGCAGTTCCCATTGTTCATAGAATCCCTCAGGGTTGTTAGGCAAGGATCCACCCCAATCCAAGGCATTCCTGGCTTGGCCCCGCCTAGCCCCGAGCCTCAATAAACCTTCTCTTTGGCTCCCCCACCTGCCCATCTCCCGCCTGTCTGCCATTTTTGGCCACCCTGCAGTCCACCACCTGGTAAGAAAGCCAGCTGTGATTTGGACAAGGCTGCATGCAGCCTTTGGAAGACAGCCTAGTGCGGCCAGCAGCTGCATCGTGAAGGGCCAGGCCAGACGCGCCTTGTCAACAGTGGGTAGAAGAAGATGGGCAAGGCCAGCTGGGAGCACCAGAGCTGGCAAGGTGAGGCTGGCAAGGCAAATGGAACCTAAGGCCAGCAGAACCTAGAGTGGCAGAGCTGGTGGAGGGCAGGGTGGCCAAAAGGGCAGAGATGGGGGCAAGAGAACAGGGAGGGAGGAGTTGAAGCACACCCGCAATTATTAATTGTGGGTGGGCTGCAAAGCCCCTGAATTTTGATCACATAACCGGAGGGGGACTGGAATGGCCGTAACTTTGGGGACTGGGCAGTAACTTTCACTCATGGCTGCTGTAATTTCAAACAGTTGCCAATCTTCAACTTTGTTTCCACTGTATCATGCTGCTGTTTTATCAGCAATTATTAATTATTAATTACTTTCAGTTCTGCTGTGCATTTGTTGTCCTGCCTATTCAAATAGGCTCCCAGCCCAGCTTAAAAAGATGCTAGTGAGAAAGTCCCTGGGTTTAATAGTATAAAAGTTTTAAAAAGGTTACTTGTAAATGACTTTTATTTTTTTTAAAAGGCTATTTTAATCAACCTTGATTCAGTTGGAATAATCAGATTGATTTAGGCATTGACATCTTCAAATCAGATTAATTTGGAAAATTGATTTGAAATTGCCTTCAGATCAAACGATTTGAGTTGAAGCTGTCACTGACTGACGCTGAAGAGGCTAAAGAGGGTTTGTGGGTAAGTGCCCAGTGCCCGATTGAATGACAACTGGACCAAAAAGAATGGTGCAAACAGACATGGGTGCAAATATAAGCAGCAATAGAATGTGTGTGTCACTAATTAATCAAAAAGAAAAAAATCATAAGACTTTAGGGAGCCTTTCTCAACCCGGGTTATGACAGATGCTTTGGTTTAAAAGTTCATCATCTTGGAACATTGATCATGAGGCCTTGGGCTGTTAGTTGCAGTAGATCACAAAGTCCAGAGGGAATCAGATTTGAGGAAGAAATCTTTTTTAAAGAGGCTGCTTTATTAGGGCAGCTTTCCTTCGTCTGATGTCTTCCAGATGTGTTGGGCTGTGGCTCTCATGTTATAGCTTAGTAAAATGTGCAGAACAGACCAATGTACACTTGAGGCTGTTGAGAGTCATGGATCTGGTTTAACAATTATGCCTGCAGGATATACAGAGAGTTGTGGAAGGAGGCTGATACTGTCGGTTCCTTCAGCTGTTGCTCCTCTGAGAATATGATCCCTGTTTAAAATAACTTGACTGGAGCCCTTAAGAGGGTCAGGGAGCTGAATTTTGAAGGGATTGTTTTGAGCATAGCTGAGCTTTAAGTAAGTATTTTGTAATGCATCTGGTCAGCATAAGGGTTGAATTGCTGTCCACAAATCGTCCGATGCCGTTGGAAGTAAAATCAGCTTCGAGCAGTGGGGTGGGTAGTATGGTGGTGATCTGACTTTCCTTCTTCCTCCAGGGCTGGTTCCAGTTTACATGGATAGGAGAGGAGAGGCCCAATCTATGGCTCCCACTACATGGGGTTCAATGCTTTCTCCTCTCCTGTTTAATATCTGCATGAAGCCACTGGGTGAGGTCATCCCTTTATTTGGGATGAGACATATCGTAAGTGTACAGGTGATACCCAGCTATGTATCTCCACCCTGGTCCTTCTCAGTGATGCTGTGGAGGTCCTGTTGATGTCGGGAGGCTGTGGGAGACTTGATGGAGAGCAAGAGGCTTTGGCTCAACCCTAGTAAGACCAAGTGACTTTGGGTTTTAGGATCCCCTTGTTCTGGGGACTTCCCATCTCTCGTTCCGGATGGGATTGCACTGCCCAAGACAGATCCCGTGGACAGTTTGGGAGTCCCCCTGGACTTGTGGCTCCAACTGAAGAAGGCAGCCATGGCTAGGAAGGCATTGTACAGCTTCATGTTGTGGATCAGTTGCGCCGATTCCCATAGTTGACTGGGGAATTCTGGGAGTTGAAGTCCACAAGTCTTAAAATTGCCAAGGTTGGACACCCCTGGTTTACACAAAACCCCTTAATGATGCTCTTTTATTTACCTTTCCTCTGTTGTAGTTTTCATATCCCCTCACTCTCCTAAGAAGTCTGCTTCCTCCACCGAATGGACCACTCTTGGAAAAAGATGTGCTCACTCACTCTGCATAGGGGAAGCGAAGTCCCAAACTCTGTTCGCGATCATTAATTCTCCTTAGACCTGCTGCTATTCAACCACTGTTCGTTTCCATCACTGAGCTGAACGGCTGTTCCTACACTTCCAACGTGACTCGCCAAGCATACAACTCCTTCCCAGTGTCTGTGGAGATTCTCAATCTTCCAAGTCATAATTGTCTCAAAGGTGCTTTTTTTTTCTTCAAAAGGCAACCGGATTGTTTTTTTCCTGAACTGATGAAGCTTCTTGGATGAGAAGTGAAGCTTTTTTTTTTCCTTCTTCCCCAAGGGAAAAAACCGGTCCAGTGCCTTTTGAAGAAAAAAGAAAAAAAAAACTTTTGAGATTCCTTCCCGGTGCTCTCTTGTCAGCTTCTTCCTGTTTCTGTGGCTCCTTCCAGACGGATTTGATCCTCTGTGCTCCCTCCCCTCCCCCCAATAACCCCATCCCACCTGGTCCTCTTTTATTTTCAGCTCCTTGTTTATTCTTGGCACCTTCTTTCCACTTCCCTTGACCACCACCCCCCTCCATGCCGCATTTCCTCCACCCTGTTGTTCTAAACGGAAAGCAAATAAATTCTTACCGAGGTATTAATTAAGATCTGTGCCATTGTGCCAGGTTATATTTTTATTTTATTTGTATTAAGGAAAGATGCCTAGGTAACAGGATCAAAAAAAATATCTAGACGTGGTATAGACTATTTTTCTTCTTCTTGACACCTCTGTTATGTTCAAGTATGAAAAAGTAATTACTTTTTTTTCTGAATGAGGGGGGGAAAAAAGTAATTACTTTTTTTGGGTGGGCTTAGGATGATTTGATCCGGAAGTTGGAAAGTTGAGGTAGAGAGAAATATTTCTCCATAGTGTTAGTGGAAGGATCTTTCCCTTCTCCAGTGCCTGGCTTTTATACAGGATAGACAGAAGGAGCAGAATATTCTACATCTGTTGCACAGCCAACGTCTTCCCTCATCCTCTGTTCTGGCAGCTCACTTGCCTACATCCAGTTTCTGATTCCCTGTAGCTGCCAGGCTGATGCTTCACAGACATGGACATTAGCATAAAAATATGTCTTTCTTCTCCCACCGAGAAGGCATCCACTTTCCAGATACCATCAGGCTGTGGCCCTTGTTCCACTGGGTTGGAAGAGTGTAGGGCAGTGATGGCGAACCTTTTAGAGACCGAGTGCCCAAACTGCAACCCAAAACCCATTTATGCATCGTTGAGTGCCGGGTGGGTTGGCCCATTCGCTGGGCGTGGCCAATTGGGTGGGCGAGGCTGCCATGGTAACGGCAGACTGGGTGGGACTAAAAAGTTCAATCAATCAATTTCAACTTTGCAAGACCTTTTTTTTCCCGCGAGAAGTTGAAATTGATTGAACCTTTTTTTTTTTTTTTTGCACACGGCAGCGGAGGCCTAAAGCGAAAAGGTTTTATAAAACCCAGCTGAAGGCCTAGGACTGGGGCAATGGCGCGCATGACTACAGAGAGGGCTCTGAGTGCCGCCTCTGGCACCCGTGCCATAGGTTCGCCACCACTGGTGTAGGGAGAGCTGATAAATGAGTATCATAGCAGGATTCTGAACCTGGTTTCTTCATACCCTACTTTTGTTCATTTGACTACCCAATTTCAGCCTTCTCTACCTGGTGGCTCTCTAGAGGGCTTGGACTTCAGTTCCCATCATTTATGGAAGTGGACGTCCATCACATGTGAACACACCCGATTGGGAAGGGTGATCCCACCTAAAGTGATTATTAAGGGTTGGAAAGTGAGGATATCTTGCTGATTCTTGGACCTGTGCAGACACATTTCTCAACATATATCACGATACAGTCCCAATACACTTTGCTTTTGCTTACTAGAACACGACTTAGGGCTTGGAGTGCTTTTGAAATTTTTGTGAGAACTGTTTAATTGTAGCCAGGAAGAGAAGTCACACTTGGCAAGTATACCTAGAACTGGTTTGGCCAATTTTGAGGGAAATGGAATACTGGATGTGAGTTTGGTAGTTTTCTTGCAGACATTTCATTACCCAGCTATGGTTTTGCACTGATAATATTATCTAATTGGGCAATAAAACACCTGCAAGGAAACAGCCAAGCTTGGAGAACATCCAGGACCCCACAGTTCAATCGTGAGGTACAAATATTCTCTCGGAAACTTAATATTTATTGGGCAGTTCAAAATCTGGGAGGTGATGGGCTAGTTCAGGGCTCTGCAACCTTGACAACTTTAAGACTTGTGGACTTCAGCTCCCAGCTGGCTGAGGAATTCTGGGAGCTGAAGTCCACGAATCTTAAAGTTGTCAAGGTTGCAGACCCCTGGGCTAGTTCAATTGATCGGGCTTTTGCAACCCAGTGTGGAAATGGCTTTGAGAATTGGAGATACCCTCCGCCTGTCTGTCTCCTCCTCCTTCCTCTCCATGTGTCAAACTCCATTCCATGCCTCTTATGTTGTGTTTCTTCCCTCCCAGCCCCCTGCAGTGGCCGACGAAGACCTACAGCTCCAGCTAGCCCTTAGCTTGAGCAAAGAGGAGCACGACAAGGTTAGACTGCTGTCATGACACCCCACTCAGTTCTTCCTGAAATAATCAACTAAACCATTTTCTCTGAGCTAGTCTTGACCCCTCACACTTTTCCAACTAACATGGCATTCTCTGTCTCTCCAAGTCCCCATCCAAAGCAGGGTGATGGCAACAATCTCTCCGTTTTCAGCTTTAGGCTTCCTGAATTATCCACTCCCTGGTTAATTGTCCATTCTTCAGTTGGCCAGTTTCCAAGTTTCTCCCAGTGAGAAGCTGGTTAATAAACCGGTCAATCCAGGTACCCTAAGCTTGACTGGGCTATGACTTTAATTCAGGCCAGCTAAGGTATTCGATGAATGTCTCCAGAAGCTTGGAGACAACATCCCGGAGGAAAATGTACTTACGAGTTGCTGATGAGAAAGAGGGATCAGACCTTCAATTGGAAAGGAAGGCCACAATTTGAAACAAAGCGTTGGATGTCTTTTCGGATTTCTTTTCTCACCTTAGCTGAAGGTGAGGTGGAAAGGCAAGAAAAAGAAGACTTTTTTTTTCTTAATCTGTGTTATCTCTGGATTTTACTGGATTCACCCAGTAGATGAAAAGATAAAGTACTAGAAATTCAGCCAGTTTCAGCTAGTAAAAATCCTGGAATGAGAAGTTAACGCTGAGATTGCTGGGCACCTTGAAGGTCATGTAAGTTTTGAGCCTGAGGGAGTTGCAGTGACTAGAAGATGCTTCCACTTGGACTCCACTTTTATGAACTACTGACCAAAGCAGCCAAAATTCAGGATTCCCATTATTTGGCAGCAACTAGTTAGTTGGAAGGTTAGAATAGCATCTCTCTCACTTCTCTCTCTCGGATGTTTTCCCTGAAGATAACTTTTCACGCAAAACAGAAACAACAGTAGCAGATGCTTCAAACCTGATCTGATCCCTGGCCAAGCTGCTGCTCCATCTATATTCTGGCTCTTGCGCTTTCTATGCCAAAGGTGAGTAACCATCTGTCACTTTCTACTGCCTCTACTCACGCCTCTGTCTTTTTCACAACCTTCTTACAGGAAGAGCGGATCCGGCGGGGGGATGACCTACGTCTCCAGATGGCCATTGAAGAGAGCAAGAAGGAGACGGTCCCTGCTAAGGAGGAGGTGAGATGGAAGAGGCAGGCGGGCAGCTGCTTGCCATGATAGTTAAACAGGATCTCCCATGCAAAGGGGTGGTATGGGTGGGAGGAGGGCAACGTGGGGCAGCAAGTATTTCCCTTGTGCCCCATGGGGTCAACTCCGAGGGGCATTTGGTTGGTCCCTTCGGGAAAAAGAGGATGCTCAAGTAGAAGACCTGTCAGGCACAAGTAACTAGGAACCGGAGTTTAAGTTCAAAGTACTTCAAGTTTATTACTAGTAGTCCTCAACTTACAACAGTTCATTTAGTGACTATTTGAAGCTACGACGGGCATTGGAAAAAGTGACTTGTGACCATTTTGCACACTTATGACTGCTGTAGCCTCCCCATGGCCACGTGATCGAAATTCAGATGACTCTTATTTGCAACGTCCCAGAATCATGTGGTCATCTTTTGTTACTTTCTGAGAAGCAAAGTCAACGGGGAAGCCAGATTCACTTAACAACTGCAGTGATTCACTGTGGCAAGAAAGGTCGTAAAATGGCACAAAACTCATTTAACCAATGTCTCACTTAACAATAGGAATTTTGGGCTGAGTTATGGTCCTAAGTCGAGGACTACTTGTACATGCTACCTATACACAAGAATCTGATATACTAACGGTCAAAGGCAAATTGGCACCTGATAACAGTCAACGGAATTCAAGGGGACTTTGATTTCTTGTGGGAGTGGCATGATTCCAAACTGATGATACACTTGGCCCCACCCCCGGGCTCAGCCTGGTCATCTCCTACAACAGGGGTCTTCAGACGTGTGCCTGGCTGGGGAATTCTGGGAGTTGAAGTCCACAAGTCATAAAAGGGCCAAGTTTGAAGACCCTTGTCCTACAAGACCCATGCTTTACTCTAGCAAAACCACCTCTTAGCAACATTGTGAAATAGTTATCATTTTATGGACATGATTCATATCCTACCTTGTGCCCCAGGGAGCCCTCAAGTTAACTAATGCTATTTTATATCTTCTTCCAAAGAACTTTACGGATGGACGTTTCCGTTTTATCTTTGCACAAATACTATGTTGTCAATTAAACCAAAAGTGAATATAAATCAAAGTCTCTCCCTTGATTTCTGGGTGGTTTGCAGGTCATCATCGTGGGTACTCTGTCTCCCCTTTATGTAATAATGTCGGAGTTGAAAGGACTTTTACAATTTAAATGACACTCTCCCCCCCAAAAAAAACCAGAAGTAGACCTTAGTGTAACGAAGCCTTTGAATTCAGTTATTGAGAACAGGGCGCCGAGCTGTTGCAATTGGCTCTGGTTCATAATAAATGTTCAAGTAAATAAACCGATTCTGCCCACTCCTAAGAACAAGATTTTATTTATTTGTTTGTTTATTTGGGGTATAGCATCTACAGAGGTCATGCAACCACTGATATACAACACTAATAAAATGCAGTATCTGTACAAACACAAGTATAAATTTGTTTGCTTATGAAATTTATTTTCCGATTTATCTTGAATCCAACGACTCTGGGCAGCTCACAGCATGAAGACATTAGAACATTAAAAAAATAAAAATAAAATCAGCAATCATAGAAACACAGCGGATAAAATTGTTAACAGTTTAAATAGAGCATCAGCATATAGGTCTACATTTAGGGCTGAGTGTGACTCTGTGCCTTCTCTTACTAGTCCTAGTCCACATTTCTAACACTACAGTACATTCCAGCAGGATGCTCTAGGCCAGGGAAATGGGAGGAACCATTGAAGGGGCGCTATAATTTTTCTCTTTCCCACTACAATCTCTGTTCCATTCTCCATTACCCAGTCATCCTTGATGGACCTTACTGATGTCTTTACTCCTCCACCACCTGCTGATCCGTGGGGTGTTCAGCCTGTTCCTGCTGACCCTTGGGGTGCCTCTGCCATAGTAGTGCCTGCAGCCCACACGAACCTGTGGGGACCCCCTGCTGTTGGAGCAGCCCCTACAGGAGATCCATGGGGAACTTCCACAGCACCTCCTGCACCTCCCTCAGCCCCCTGGGGAGTGCCCCCAGCTGCTAGTGCTGATCCCTGGAAGGCCGAAGGTAAGAACCGACTCTGTTTAAAACATTCTTCGTCTCTGATCACCATTACTTTTTAATTATGTACTTGTGTGCGGTTCCTCTTCTGAAAAGATCTTTTAAGAGGAGGAGGGTGGCCAACATGGAGGTCCTGCTGCATTTCATAAGATCTATGGATGAGGCTGTTTATAGTAGCTGTCTCCTGTGCTGCGAGCTGCTTGGTGGAGTGTAGAGAAAAGTGTGTAGAGCATAGGTACGCAACTATGGCGACTTTATGACCTGTGGACTGGCTGAATCCCGGGAGTTGAAGTCCACAGGTCGTAAAGTTGCCACAGCTGGGGCTGTGATAAAAAGAAAATGGGGGTAATAGAAACAGGGTGTTCCCATCCCCTTTTGGCTCTGTCACCACCACCTCCTGCTTGATTTATCTCTTCCCAGCATGCAGCTTCCCCACAGATTACGTTCATGTGAATTGACTCTTTGCAGGTTCAGAAAGGCTGCCTGTTGCTTTTCAGTCCTGAAGGGTGTGGGAAAAAAATGTTTCAACCAGGTCAGGTCGGCACCAGGCTAGATGAGGCCTTCTTTTATGCTGCCTTCAGTCCTAGGAGGAAGGACATCGTCATCCCCAGAATTCCTCCTGGCCTCTACAACCCTGGTGTCTCTCTGCCTCTCATTTTTAATGAAGAGGTTCTCTGTGGTTTGTCCTAAAAGCCGCACACGGCCTCTGTATCCATTGGAAGAGAGACCCTTGATGGGCAGAGCAGACCCTATTTCGCCAAAGACCCACTTCTGTTCTTAGCTTTCCTGCAGAGAGGCTCTCAGCAGATAATGTGTGTTTGTCCTTTTTTGGACCTGAAATGCCCTTTTTAAGGTGAGTAACCACAGCTATAGACCATGTGGTCTCACCATAGAGTTGGGAAAAGGCATTACAGATAGTCCTCAACTTACAACTAGTTGCTTAATGACCCAGAGCTACTTACCTCCCATTTGTTAAGTTATGACGCTCGCATACCCTCTGTGCCACCTACCACTGTGGTCGCATGATCACACTTTGGGCACTTGGCAACTAGCTCATCCTTATGGCCATTTGCAGCATCCCATGGTGACACGACCACATTTTACAACATATTGTTGCCAATTTCCAGCATTTACTTCTGGTTTCTGGCCAAAACAAAAAACAAAAAAAAAAAGCCCATTGGAGAAAATCGGTTCTCTTGATGACTGCCACGTTTGCTTCACGTCAGCCACAGAAAATGTTCAAAAAAATCAGGTCCAGTTACACGATACCTCAATTTACAACCAGAACAACTTAACGACCATAATTCCAGACTCAGTTATGGTTGGGAGAACTACCTGTATTAAATTGGCAGTTCTAGTTTTTCCTAATAATTCCACAAATGAAATTTTCCTTTTTTTGGAGCAAGGTCATGCTGGATTAATGTTTGTTTGTTTTTTAAATCAAGTTGTCCACTGTGACCCCCAAGGTCCCTTCCCTGGTTAGTCACTGTCAGTTCAAACCTCTTTAACATACATATTTTGTGCCAACACACGCCCCTTTAATTTAATTACATTTAACTGCATTTGCTGTTTGAAAGCCCATTTATCTCCCAAAAGGGGAATCCTTTGAAAACTCTCTATTTAACGCTAAGCTTTAAACGGTTTGCTGCCATCAGCAAACAGAGTCACTTCAATGCTTAGCCCTTGTTCCAGATCATTGAAATATCAAATAAAAAGCATTGGTCACAGCACTTGTGGCTGGAGGGTAGATGCTTTGCATATCTTTGCACAATTGAGAATTGCCCGTTTATTTTTATCACTTATTTCATTTTTTTAATCAGTTCCCAGTCCTTGAGAGTATCTACACTTTTAACCCATGGCAGCTGACTTTGCTCAAGATCAGGGGTCTCCACACCTGTCAGCTTGAAGACTTGTGGACTTCAACTCCCAGAATTCCTCAGCCAGCCATGCTGGCTGAGGAATTCTGGGAGTTGAAGTCCACAAGTCTTCCAAGTTGCCAAGTTTGAAGATTCCTGCTCAAGACCCCTTGGCGAGGGCTTTTTGAAAATCCAAGTACACATTATCTACTAGGTATCTTGTCCACATGCTTGTTCCCACCTTCCCCGAACTTCAAAAGTTTCAGGGGATCACTCACCTTTTGGAAGCCATGTTGGCTTATTTTCAGTTACTGCTTTTTCTTTCCTGTGTTCTTTTGGGATCTTAGTCAGGGGGTTGAGATAGATGCACAAATTATCTAACAGGGAAGGCCATGTCCTTTGCTTGAGTTAAACCTCTTTACAGTTTGATGGTCCTTCACCAGTGGAATGCATGCTCCCTGATTGCCACACAGAATGCAGAATAACAGTTAGAAGAGACTTTGGAAGTTCTCTAGTCCAAGCCCCCCACCCCCAGCAGAAGACCGTGTGCCATTCTGGACAAATACCTGTTCAGTCTCTTTTTAAAAACTTCCTGCGATCAAGCATTATTTTGGCCAGCCTGCTCCTCAAAAGCCCTCCTGTGTTTTCCTTGTGCAGCCGGATCTAAACATGCCAGAATTGCTGGACAGGCTGTTCTCAAATTCCATCCCTGACATTATTCCGGAACCATGAACTGAGTTGCTTTATAGTTCTGGTCCAGACAGCATAAACTCAGTGAGAAAAATTTTAAAACAATATTTATTGCCCAGGAATTCTAAGCAGAGGCTTGCTATGCAGAAGATACATCTGGTCATTAGGATATTGTTCATTCCCATAGGTAAAGGAATAACGGACTCCTCCGGAAATCCATGCAGAGAGATAATACAATGGCACAAAGCCAGGAAGTCCTGCAATAACTTTTTAACTCCTCCCATTGTCTAGATAAGAAATGGGTCTGACTAACACTGAACTACGTTACCCATAAGCCATCTCTTAAGGAAACAGCGTTTAACCCTTTAAATGCTAAACGTTCTAACATACAGTTCTCTCAATGAAACAACATTAACCCTGTCAATGCTAAATACTCTTAACACAATTCTCGCTGGCTACAATCCGGTCCAGCACAGACATGGTTTGTTTCCTTCCCAGGTGGGATTTCTGTGGGGCCCACAACAGCACCACCCATAGACCCATGGTCCTCCAGCACGGCTCCCACACCTGCTCCTGATCCTTGGGCTCCAGCGTCCACTTTTTCAGATCCCTGGGGGAGCTCCCCTTCTAAGCCGAGCACCAACGGCGTGGCAGGTAAGGATGAAATTCGCAGTAGGGGTTTGGGGACCAAGTGGTGGGGAAAAGGGAGGGGAGGGGCTGGTCTTTCTCACTGGGTCAGCTGTAGGGGAAGGACTCCTAGTTCAGAGTTGGGGTAGAGGGCCTCTTCCTGCTCCCAGCTAATCCTTCTGCCCCATCCTTCCTTTTGTGCCCTGTTCCTCTCCCAGCTGCCAGAGGCTTTGAGCAGTTTGATGACGGGGACAGGGATGAATTCTCTGATTTTGACAGCCTGCGCCCAGCACTGCCCAAATCTGGAAGCAGCACAGGTCAGCCTTGCTCCCCCCTCCCCCTCCCTTTCCTAGGCATGGTTCCTAACGCTGCACCCCAGTGTGTTTTTCCACCTTGGCAGCTTGAAGATGTGTGGACTTCAACTCCCAGAACTCCCCCAGCAAGCCGTGCTGGCTGAGGAATTCTGGGAGTTGAAGTCCACACATCGTCACATTTGCCACATTTGAGAAACACAGCGCTAACCTCCCTTCCCTCTAACCTATCCAGGCCGGTGGTTTGTGGACTGGATGACCTCTCGCTCCCCTGGCATGGGAGAGAGTTTGCATGCTCCTCCCTTTGATTCTCTCCCTCCCTATCTCCTCTAACCTTGTTTGGACATTGGCTTTCCAAACTACATGTTCTTGCATGTAGTTTGAAAGGGATGAGAAAATAAATAAACACTTTAATTAACAAAAAACTAAAATCTGGGGAAGGGAGGATTGTTTGTGGTTTGGGGGAATGGGGCCAAAATGATTGTGGAAAGTCATAAACCAAGCACAATTCCTTGTATGACCAGCCAATTGCCCTGTCTGTAATGGGGCCTGTGTTTTCCGTCCATATTCTCTGTACATCTGGATATTTACTCTCTCTCTCAACTCCCTCTTCCTCTCTCTCTCTCTCTGATTTCTTGTTCCACAGGTGAACTGTCCCTCTTAGCAGGGGAGGTCCCTGTCTCTCAAGCTGGCAGTGGCAAGGGCAGCCCCAATGCTTTTGACATGGCTGCCATGGCTGGGTCACTGCCAGAGACCTGCAAGCCGATGCGTAAAACTCCCGAGTCATTCCTGGGTCCCAACGCAGCCCTCGTGGATCTGGACTCGCTGGTTAGCAAACCTGCTGCTCTATCTAGCAGCACCAAGGCTTCCAACCCCTTCCTCCCCCCTGGTAAGGGTTTGTGGGTCTTGGGGTGTCAGGGGGAGCAAATAAAGGGGCTCCTACTCATTGCTATGCTCAAGAAGAATCAAACTTGGTTTGAGGGGTAGGAAATCGGTCCCATTGCATTGATATCACTGAGATAGAAATAAAAAGGAATCATCCTTATTTGAATTAATTACAGATAGTCCTCGGCTTACAACCACAATTGAGCCCAGAATTTATGTTGCTAAGTGAGAAATTTGTTAAGTCAGTTTTGTCCCATTTTACAACTTTGCTTATGAAGTGAATCACTGCAGTTGTTAAATTAGTAACACAGTTGTTAAGTGAATTTGGCTTCCCCGTTGACTTTGCTTGTCAGAAGGACGCAAAAGGGAATCACGCAACCCTGGGACACTGCAATGATCATAAATATGAACCAGTTGTCAAGCATTTGAATGTAAATCACATGATCATGGGGATGCTGCAATGGTCATAAGTGTGAAAAATGGTCATAAGTCACTTTTTTCAGTGGCATTGTAACTTTGAATGGTCACAAACAAACTGTTGTAAGTCGAGAACTACTTGCATAAGCAACACTGAAATCAGACTAGCCAGTTTGGTCTAGCGGTTATGGCACCAGGCTAGAAAACAAGAGGCTGTGAGTTCAAGTCCCGCCTTATCCATGAAAGCCATCTCGGTAACTTGGGGCCAATCACTAGGAGACTTTGAGTTATAGTCCCGCCATAGCCATGAAAACCAGGTGGGTCATTTGGGCCGATCACTGTGAGTTTTAGTTCTGCCTTAGACATGAAAGCTGGCTGCATGACTTTGTGCCAGTCATGGTCTCTCAGCCCAACCCACCTCACAGGGATGTTGTTGTGGGGAGAATAGTAGGAAGGTGTGTTTGCCACCTTCAGTTATTCATAAAAATAATAAAGGCAGGATACAAATAAATAAAATTTAAATTCGTTTTTGAAGTAGCTTTCTCCCAGTTTGACTGCCTGACAAAATGTTAATTAGCACGCCCCCATTGTTCCCAGCTGGTGTGGGAATTATGGGGTGTGATTGCCAAAAATATTTGAGAGGAGTGGTTCAGTTTTTGAGTGTGGAGACCAAGATTCAAGTTCCCACTTCGCTTTAGGACTTACTGGATAACTGAGTCAGTCACGATCAATCCAGCCTACCTCAAAGGGTTGCTATGGTTATGAATGAAATGAATGACTCCATGCGTGTCATCTTGAGCATCTAAAGCAGGGGTGTCAAACTGCTGGCTTGTGGGCCGGTTGCCTCATGCGGAGGCCGTGCCCACCCCAGCTGCGGCAATGCGAAAAAAGTCGCCACATGTCGCCACACGTCACATGACGCAGCATGTTTGACATCCGTGATCTAAAGGAACAGTAGGAAATAAAGGCTGTAAGACTAGAAAGGTAGAACTTTCTTTATCTGGATGGGTGCCTGTTTGGGGAAAGCTGTGTGAAGGTTTATTCATAGAAGAGAGTTTGCTGGCCTGAAGCAGGGCCAGACTGACAGGTAGAACCTTCCAGAGCAGTGTTTCTCAAACTTGGCAATAATGTGTGGACTTCAACTCCCAGAATTCCCCAGCCTGCATGCTGGCTTAGGAATTCTGGGAGTTGAAGTCCACGCATCTTCAAGCTGCCAGGGTTGAGAAATATATTTCTAGAGGCTTGCATCAGAACAGTGTTCCTCAGCCTTAACAACTTGAAGACATGTGGCCTTGAACTCTCAGAATTCTTCCCGGGTTAAGCAACTCCCAAATAGCCAGACCTCTGGGGTTTTTAGGCCAGAAGGAGGCCTTCTAGGCTTCTCTGTAATGATCTTTTCTTTTCTGTCTTGTTGCCTGCTGCAGGTTCAGCTCCCGCCCTATCTGCCTCGGCCACCAATCCATTCCAGGCAGCGGCAGCCACCCCGCTGTCACTCAATCAGCTCCGTGTCAGTCCAGTACTTTCGTTATCACAGCCAGCGCCACCAGCGTTTCCTGCCACAGCTCCAATGGTCTCCGTGTCTCCCATGGCTCCCGGGATGCCCTTAGCCTCTGTTTCCCCCATGCTGGCGGTGCAGCCCTTGGGGGCTGTTCCCCCTCTGGGGCTCCCTGCCATGGGGCTGCCCCCTCAGAGCCTGCCCCCTGCCGGCGTTGTTCCCAGCAGCACTTCGGCTTCCGCCCTGGGGAGCACCAACCCCTTTTTGCTATAACTGGGGGACCTTTGGCTCGGTGTTGACCACCTAAACATCCCCTTTCGCCCTGTGTTCCCCATTGGCAGTGGGGCCCTCCAATGGCAGCCACCGAGCAGGGGCAGCTGAACTGGGATGGGAGGGAGGTGGAAGGAAACAGAGGGACCCAAGTCTTTGCAGGCCCTCCACCCCCATGTTGGGAGGCCAGGAGGGTCTTTCTGAAAATTGGTTTCCCCTTTCTCCCCAGGCCCGCTCTGCTGGGACCTGGAAAGATCCTTTTCTAGTACCAAAGTCTAAGGAGCCACAGAGGCCACACCCAGTGACTAGTTCAACGGGGAGGAATCTATTCACTGAAGCAGAACTGGGGGAAGAGGGCTCTTCCCTAAAAGTGATCTTTGAATCCTTTCACGTTTTTTTTTTTTTTTGAGTACCTATCCAGATTTGGATTTGGAATATTTATATTCCTTTTTTTTTTTTTTTTTGGTTTTGTTTTTGGTTCATCAATCTCTGTCTTCTCCTTTGTGGAAGGAGAGAAGAAAGAGAAATGGCTAACTCCTTACCTCTGTGATGTTCCAGATGAAATTCTTTGGGGAAATCAAATGTTTTTTTTTTCTCTCTCTCTCTAGGTACTCCCCTTCCTTTCCTCCTGAATGTTTGTTGCATCTTCTTCAACCTCCTTCTCTTCCCACAACCCCTTAGCTGGGACCAGTTTTTCTGGTTTTTTGGGATTTTTTTTTTTCCTCCTGAGGAAGTAGGGGTGGGGTGGGGGTGACAGGAACCATTGACACCTTAGAATACATCTCTCTCTGTTCTTAGGATCAAGAGAAATGCCACTAACTTAATGCCAGAGACCAAGGCTGAGTCATGCTCCTAGACCCCCCTCCCCTTTGTACATCCACTTTCTGCAAACATTGGACCCAGAAAGAATATCCGTTTGCAAGAAATGCAGGACCTTGCCAACCAACGCATTGAGTGGATCAACGGTGGGGAGGGCCTTGAAACACTCAATGCAACCTACTGTGAAGGGGGAATCTGGAAACAGCTGAAGGCCGAGCGTTCTGAGATGCCAGAAAGGCTTTAAAGGCAAAACTTCCCATGCTGGACCACGACTGGACTTGGAAGACTTTCTTGACCTGTGTCTTGCAAGCCCTGAAAGAATGGAGCCCCTGTTGGATTTTGAAACAGCGGGATCTAAAATTCTCTGTCCTGGTCTGCGGGCCATGGCCAGCTCAACCGAGAAGACCGAGGAATTTACTGAGAACAGTGGGACTCGGATGCCGAGCAGAATTGAGACGCCCACCTGGCGTTGCTCTTCCTGCATCTGGCCCAGTGGCCTTCCAGGCACAGCCTGCGTGGCATCATCTTTCTGTGTCTTTGGGGGCTGGACACACCATGTGGCCCAGCAGGAAAATGCCGTTTCTGAGATGCCCAGCCAGACCGAGAGAGCTGCTACTCTTCAACTGAAAGAGCCTCGGATGTTCTTCGGACTGGTGGTGGTGGGGGAACCGAGGGAGGCACAGGGGATGTTGGGTGGTCACTTTTACCCCTTCTACAGCAGCAGCAGCAGCAGCTTGTGGAGGAAGGGAGTCATGGCTGTGTGTGTTTGTGAGTGTGTGCGTATGTGTATGTGTTGCTGCTTTTCTGAATTCCTCTTTGATGCTGGGGAGGGGCACTCGTTAGCACCCAGGACAATCTGTTGGGCCTTTCTTTTCTCCCCCTTTTTTCCTCCTCCAAATACATTCTTGGAATGTGTTTCCTATGCCTCCCTGCCCCCCCCATCATGCTGGGGTTGATTTTTTCTTTCGCCCCCATATCAGTATATTTGAATCATTGTGTCATTTGTTGGGGGTGGGGAGTGATTTAGCCGTGTGTGATCCTCCCCCTTGGCTCAGTCCCCCTGCCTCCCATTTCCCCCTCCCAGGTTCCTAACCGATTCTGGTATGCTTCAGAAAAAAAATGCTATTAATGAGTTGAAATAAATGGAAATTCTTCTATGGCATCCAAAGGCTCCTTCGAGGTTTGCTTTGTATGGAAAATGGCCGACAAGAGAGCGTTGGGCTGCTTCATTTAGCAATAGCGCTTAAGACTCCTATACCGCTTCACAGTGCTTTACTGCCCTCTCTAAGGGCAGCATGTTGCCCCCAATAATCGGGGTCCTCATTTTACTGACCTTGGAAGGAGGGAAGGCCAAGTCAATCTTGAGCCAGTCAGGATCAAACTGCTGGCAGTCAGTAGAGTTAGCCTGCAGTATTATGTTCTGACCACTGTGATTGGCCCTTCCCCTCACAAGGCTTCCCTGGATGGCAGTCGGGAGTCCAGGACATCTAGAGCGGGGGTCCCCCAACCTTGGCGACTTTTAAGGCTTGTGGACTTCAACTCCCAGAATTCCCTAGCCAGCAAAGCTGGCTGAGGAATTCTGGGAGTTGAAGTCCACAAATCTTGAAGTCGCCAAGGTTGGGGACCCCCCGCTCTAGAGAACAGCCCAACTAAGCATGCTGTGTGTTTGACAAGCAGTGAACGACTCTTTCCCCTTTGTGTGCCTTACAAAACTTTGGGGGTTTGGAGCAGGTGGAGGGAGCGGGGAAAGAGGCTGGTTAAGCCAAGGTTGTGTGGCTGCCTAAGTGACGAGAATATAAAGTTGTCATCTCCATGCAAACAAAGCAGAAGCACAGCCTCCTTCCAAAAGGAGAAAAAAAATCAACAGGTAGTCATTCACTTATGACCAGGATTTGAAGTTCTGATGGTCGTTACCCATCCACCCCTGCAGTCACGTAACTGAACTTCAGGTGCTTGGGTGTTAGGTTGCATTTTTACAGTCGTTTGCCGCATCTCGTGGCTGCATTTTACAATGGCTTTGCCGAAAACCGGCACTTCTGCTTTTCAGCCAAACCATGTTCATAGCAAATCATTGCTTCTCTTAATGACCATGGTTGCTTAGCAACTGCCACAAAAAAGGTAATCTCAAGTCAGTCATATGACCAAGCTGTTTTACTAAGACGGTAATAAACAGCCTCCATTACCGTCATAAGGTGAGGGCTACCTGCGTCTTGATTTAGGAACACCAGTGTGAAAGGTCTAATCAAAACAAAACATGCTTCAGGATGTCATATGCCCACAGCCTGATAAGTTCTGGCAATTTTTTTAAATTGCTATTTCTGTTTGGGTTTTTTTTTTCTTTTGCAAAAGCTTTTTCCTGAGGATAAAGAGCATTGCAGAAGTGCTCCCGTTGCTGGCCCCAAATACACTTAGAATGATCGTGTTTGTTGAATAATAAGTTGATTGGGTTCATACAATATGCTAAAGTATAAGCTATTATTTATAAATCTCCACAGCTAAATTCAGAGATTGCTCAGGGCTGTAACGTGGCTTGAGTTTGCTCTGAATGAAACTGCCAACTGCCATAAAAAAGGTTATAAAATGGGTCTTGCCATGTGACCTGCTTTATGACTGTCATGGCTTAATGACCATAACGGACAGGCTCCATCTATGGTTATAAGATGAGGATTACCGGCAGGTGGTTTACTCGTATGCTATACAGGTAGCCCTCAACTTACAAAGTTCATTCAGTGACCATTAAAGGTTACAAGGACATTGAAAAAAGTGGCTTATTACCATTTTTCACACATTCATTGCAGCATCCCCCACAGTCACATGATCAAAATTCAGAAGCTTGGCAACTGACTCATATTTATGACAGTCGCAGTGTCCCAGGGTCACGTGATCACCTTTTGCAATCTTCTGACAAGCAAAGTCAATGGGGAAGCCAGATTCATTTTACAACTGTGCTATTAACAATGGCAGTGATTCACTTAACAATCATGGCAAGAAAGGCAAATGGGGGCAAAACTCAACGACTGTCTCGCTTAGCAGCAGAAATGTTGGGCTCAATTGTGATTGTAAATCGAGGAGTATTGGTACATATATTATGTGAGCCAGGCAGCCATTATAATTCTGGCTGCCTTCAGAATGGCTGGGATTGAAATCCCGTTACCCATGGCTGGTAGAACCGGCTGGGAATGACAAAACAGTTTTTATTTTCAGGCTGAAGTTTTTTCAAACTACCTGGAGATAGATACCAAGGAAGTAAAAGAAACTTGTTCACACAGCATGGATCTTCGCCTTTGGTTATCTGATGTGGGAATGTAAGATCCTCCTGAGCCAGGCATGCGTAAATGGTTGAAAGTCACTCAGTATTCCTGGCTCAATCTGCCCTTAATTACTTTCTGATCCATGACTCTTGAGTTTTCCGCCTTAAAATGGAAAATAGTTCTCTGAGGCTGCCCTGACTTACACACCACTGTGGAGCTGCAGGTGGAAAGATGTTGCCGAGTGAGGAGAAATAATTCCACTTTCCTACTGTAAACAGTTTAATTTGGGGCATCATAGAAGTGAGGGGGGCTTGGGATGTCGAATTCTGGAGGACTGGGCATGTCGAATTCTGGAGGACTGGGCATGTCGAATTCAGGGGGGCTTGCGTAGTCTGGTACTGGAGGAATTGGGGCAGCCTCTTCTGATTTTTCTGAGCTTTCTGAAGTTTCTGAACTGTCTTCATTATCTTTATTGTCGTCATCTTCATCTTCCGATTCAGTTTCTTCGGATGCCTTTTTACGACAGCAGTACCTGTAGTACAAAGGAATAGCAAGTGCATCCTTTAAACTGCTCCATTCTACGCCGTGAGTGAAATTGAACAGGGGAAACACTGTCAGATTTGTGGACACCCAGTGCTACAGGTAGTCCTTGGGTTATGACCACTGGTTCAGGAACCATTCAAAATTAAGACAGTGCTGAACAAGGAGGACTTACAAGCAGTCCATGAAGTTGCGGTTGTTGCAGCCTCCCCAAGGTCAAAGATCATGATTCGGGCACTTGGCAACTGCCCTGCAATTACAACAGTTTGCACTGTCCTGCAGTTATGTAATTGCTATTTGTGACTTTCTCTGTCAGCTTCCCTAAGCAAAGTCAATGGGGAAGCTGCCAAGAAGTCTCAAGTTGCTTCCTATTCCTGCCACTTTCTTCCCTGCCCATGCTCTCTAGTGCCCACCCACAGCACCCACCCACCCACTTACCTGTGGGAATCACTGACACTCCATAGTAATCTATACCCTTGCAATCATGTCAGGTCCTCGCTTAACAACCAGTGTGATCCTGGGCTTCTGAAGCTAAGCAGTGCAGTCAGGTGATGTCACACTTTGTGACTGCATTGCTTAGCAATGGAAATTCCAGCTCCAACTGCCATTGTAACCCAAGGACTACTTATATAAAATGGGCCCAAAATAAAATTGCTTTATCAACTTGTAGCACTGTTCAGATTTCATCAGATATTTATTGAACCCATAGCTCGTTCTGAAACATTGACTAGCTAGGCAATACTCGTGCCTCATTTCCTTAGTCTCAAAGTAATTGGTATTCTGCATGAG